CGTTTCTCAGGTCGGGCAAATCAAGTCCGTTTACACCCACTAAAAAAGCATTTCCCTATTCCCTACCAAGTGCAAAAGACAGAGATAGAATATAGATCGACGTTCAGTGTAACTCAGTCTATAGACGATTATAGATTCTACCGATGTGCATGGCGAGCGGCACAAAGATAAATAATATTGAACCGTATAGAAATCATTTTAAATTTTATACGCATTATGGTAAAAGTGTTTTTATATTATGTATTAGTCACTCTTTATAATTTCGGCCGCCGAGTATAGGCTGTGGTAAAAGACTAAACATCGTATGATGCGAGATAACGGGATCTGGATCACATTCCTCACAAAAGACTGCTACTGCGTTGATAGGAAGACCATAAATGAAGTGAATATCGCACATTTCACCACCTGGGCGGTTCGCTATTTCAAAGACAGTAAGTTGTACACGAAAACGCCTGTTGTATTAAATGATAAGTGAAACGTCGACAGCAGATTATTATTTCCGTGATTAACATTTAAGAAAAGAAAATAATCTTTTACTTTATCTTAAGACCTGAACATTTTGATGAAAATTTGCAAGAAAAAGAAGTTTTCATATCAGCCAGGTTAAATGACATTTTTTGAATTAGATTTTCAACTCTAAAAAATATAAAAATATAAAATGAAAAAACTATTAAGTGTTGCAATTTTCACATCGGTGTAACATCCCAAACTTGATTTTTCTGTTTCTGTAATTGTGAGAAAGAAAATAAATACGTAATTTTAACGTACGCCTTAAAGGAATATAAGTCTGATAGCGTATATGTTTTGGAGATAGGTTTATATAGAAGACCTTGTATATAGATACTTGATCAAGTTTTGATTATGATCATTTAATCATCTATTTTTTGCCGACGATTTGAAGCTGTTTTTCAGTGTATCTAATTTGGAAGATTGTTTAATACTGCAAGAGCAGGTAGATCTTGTAAGTAGATGGTGTGAGAATAATCTATTACCTATTAACATAGATAAGTGTAAGGTCTGCTCGTTTACATCAAAAAAAGAACCGTTAATATTTAGCTACACCCTTGAAAATGCGTTACTAGCACGTTGCGATAATGTTAAGGATTTAGGTGTAATATATGACAATAGACTGTCCTTCACTGATCATATCAATGCAATTATAAATGCGGCTAATAGAGCTTTGAGTTTTATAGTCAGAAATTCAAGTTCTTTTAATAACGTTACTGCATTAAAATGTCTGTTTTACTCATTAGTTCATTCTAAATTAGAATACTGCAGCCTTATATGGTACCCTTACTACCAGATACATACTAACAAGCTTCAAAAAGTTCAACGTCGTTTTCTTAAATTTTTAAGCTTTCAAATTGATGGTTATTATCCAAATAGAGGATATGAACATAGATTGTTGTTAGATCGATTCAAAATGCAGTCTTTGCAGACTAGAAGAATACTCAATAGTTTATCTTTCCTATTTAAACTTTTTCATGCTAGAGTTGACTCAGCATATCTACTGGGTTCTTTCAATATACGAGTTCCTAGACATGGGTCTCGAGCTGATTGCATGTTCTATTGTGGGAATACTAAGACCAACATACTTCTTAAATCTCCCATCTATGTCATGGAAATAATTATAATTTAATATCTATGCAGTGTGATATAAACCACATAAATAATTTGTTATGTGTAGCAACTCAATTTTTAATTTAATAAATTTTAACTGATATTGTAGAAACTAGAACGTATTTTATAGTTTATATATCTATTTGTATTTATTTAGAACTATGATTTTTTATATTTTTAGTGTTTTGTACTTGAATGTCTATACTTTTTTGTCCTGTAATTGGAACATTTGTTCTGTTGGGCAATAAATGCATTATTATTATTATTATTATTATTATTATTTTTAAGATATGAGGAAAAATAAATGTCTTGCAAAACATTTATGTCTTAATAGTAATGTAATTATTAATTTCAGGATGAAAACGCAGAGGGTTTGCTATATTTTGACGACTTTACCAGTTTGCAATATCGTACAAAATTATATTATTTCTACTTTAGACTTATATACGATTCTGGAACTAATGGCATATGGTTTCAGTAAGTTCATTTTTTTCAGTGATTCGTATGAAGCTTTTACATAATAATAATTTTTTTCAGACAAGTATCGGGCAATGCTGATGGTTTTAATCCTCGTATTCAAAGAATCGTGGTACATCGTCGAGAAGGTAAGTTTTTTTATTTTCCCATGAATTTTTAAAATTTCCTGATATGTCTTCTAGCAAAGAAGGAAACTATAACGGAATCATATACAACCACGAAAGATGGCACCCCCTTGGAAGATATAGACCTTGTGCAACAACATCAGCTACTACGAGGAGAGGGTAGTGTTGTCATTTATCTGTAGAAACTTTTAGTTAAAAATAAAAATATCCCTAAATATTGTTTTTTTCTTTATGGTTTTTCTAAATGATGAGGATAAAAAAGCAGATATATATCATACAGAATGATAAAATGACATGATTTTATATAGATTATGAAATTTAGGAAGCGGTTTTGTCTACTGAATAGGGATTATCTATATTTAAAACGGATTAAATATGCTTTAAAGTAAAATTGTGTAAATAAGAAATTTGACAAACAACTAAATTATGTAATTTAAGGGACACTCTAGAGGTTGAGAAAAAAGGTGATTTTTGGGAATTTTCAAGGAAAAATCGATATAAGATATAGTGTCAGAAACAAAAAGGCTTTATTGTACATGTTTTCAGATGGCATTACGAATTTTTTCAAACGATTTGGATTCAAAATGCCCGGAAAGGTTTCTTATTAATAGGTGGTCTTGAAATTAAAAAAAAAACTTTCTGATAGTATACAGAGTTAGTCAAAAGTATGGAAACCCTCAAAAATCTCAGCGGGAAGGCATTTTTAGGATAAATGGTGAGAACAAAAGTCGTAACATTTTTCACGGCGTATCCGATGGTCAAGGTTCAAGGTTAAATCAAGATCAAGTCAGTTTTTTTTTTAATGGCGACCCTCCTTTTCGACATCGGAAATGGAAAGAGCAGAAAATTCTGTATCCGAATATGACATTGACCGTGACATCAAGTCAATGGTCAAGGTCAGTTCAAGGTCAAATGTAGATTTTTACTGGAAGTTTTTATTTTTAACTACGGAATCAGAGGGAGTGACAGTCTTTGAGTAGATAACTGATGGTACGCCTTAATGACCTTGATCTTTAATAGCGACCCCTTATTTCGAGTCTACAAATAAGAGAAAGTTCTACATGCTATTATGATCTTAAACGTGACCTTAAAGTCAATGGTCAAGGTCAGGTAGAGGTCAAGTGATTCCTCCGGCTGTCATTTTCTATTTCCGACGATGGAATAGAAGGCACTCTTAATTTTTTGGTGACCTCAAGATCAAGGTCACTACCTCAAGGTCAAGGTTACCATCGGATACGCCGTGAAAAATGCTGAGACTTCTGTCTTCACCATTTATCCTAAAAATGCTTTCCCGCTGAGATTTTTGGGGGTTTCCATACTTTTGACTAACCCTGTATATTAAAAGCTAGGGAATATCGTAAAAATTGAAAAATATTAATAGTTGCTAAATTCATGAACACTAAAAAATAGGTATCGAAAAAAAAAGAAAAATTTTGCATTAAACAATGAAAATTGTTAACCAATCGAAAAACCCCTACGGTGTTCCCTGAGTTATGATATTGTGAAGCTGTATAAAATTTTAAGTTGATTCGTTGAAAACTTTTTGAGTCATGTTTCGGGCCAGTTAAAAAAAGTGATTTCTTGAAAAACGCTTTTAAAGTTTTTGTTGGCATTCAGCATAAGAAATTTGTTATATGAGTTGTCATAATTGGCCGCGCACCAAAGGCGGATCATCAACATAAAATAAAACGAACAATGATTATAAGATTTATCATTGTATCATTGTGAAACAAGTAAATCGTTATACGTATCGTTGCTATCGGTTCCACAATCTGCATGGGATCCGTTATAGATCGCACCATCAAGTATGTTTCTATCCCTGTTTCAGCGAAACTTATTCGCGACGGGTGATAAAATATCTTACAATAATTAGTCTGAAGAGAACAACCGTTCGACATTTATTAATGTAATATATGAATAATTAAATAATCTACTTCGACATGGTAATTTCCATTCGGGGATATATTTATTGCAGTAGGAATGAAATGTTTTACTATTATTACTATATCAAATGGTAGGTTACATGCAATCAGTATGAAGATTAAATCAAACATAGATTGAGTCTTCAGGTTCGCTGCAAGTGGTTACCTCGAAAAACTCGTGTTCCCGATTTATGCCCCATCTAAAACTTGCTTAATATATTCTTCACATAATAAAGCATTGTTTAAACCGTTTATTTGAAAATCAGCAGGAAACAAGTAAATATAATGTTAAAATAAACAGATAAATGTGCATCACAATTCATCATTTACATTAATTTAATGCAAACAGTAGGTATAATAGCATGGTTCCAATAGATTAAATAAAAAATGAATGGAATATTTTCATTTATCTCAAGCTTAACGGGTTCTTTACTTAATTTGCAAATCTTCGATATCATGGACAGCTCAAGATAAAGTCTAGCGTTTATATAAATTACTAACGCAATAAATCCTGTTTGTTTAAGAATCATGTTATTGTAAGTAATTTACTTCGTTAGTTATGTTATACATATTTTTTTTTAATAAATTAGCAAAGCCTTATGAAGTTCATTGCATTTGTATAGTCGTAGATTTGAATAAAGTATGGTTGAAGATGTATTACAACTTCGTTAGTGACAGTGAAGGCAGTATCATGATCACTAATTTTTCAAATGAATAGTTTTAGGCTCCTATTCCTCGTCACATCAGCGTTGGCTGTAGATAACAATGTCTTCCACGACTGTAGCAGTGAACCATTTTGCGCGTGAGTATTTTTTTATTTAACTATTTCATGACTAAATTGTACATATATTCATCAATTGCTTTTGAAAACTTTTAAGGGCGTTATATTTAAAAAATTTCGAAATACAAATTGTTAAACGTTACTATTGGTTTTAGGACTTTCAGAAGCCAAGTCTTGGATGCAAACACTCAATTTGTGGCCAATGTGGCCGAAGCTCAGAGAACTCCGTTAAATACAGTTAACGTGCCTTTAACTAACGGCAATGGTGAGGAACTGACTCTGGAACTGTCTATATTATGTGGGCATAAAATGAGGATAAAGGTACTGGAAAAGGTTCAAAAACGGTTTATTATTAGATATGGCATAGTTCTTAGCAAAATGGACTATCCGTAAGTATAAATTACGAAAAAAGTGCAGCCGCCAATTATTAATTCATTATTTCAAAAAAAACAGTATATTATTATATTCGTTATTCTATAATTTTTACAGTAAATATCTTACTGCAGCATTTAAAATCACTTTTTCATTTTGAATACTATACCTTTTTATATACTCATTTCAGTCCAACACTAGAAATATCAAATGACACATTAACTATAACAACTACTTGGGCAGTGGAGGACAAAATCGTGGTAAGAAAAGGCCCACCGTTTACTGTGGAATGTTACCATCAAGACCAATTGGAGATAGTTCTAAATGGTGACCGACTAGTTATGAAAAATGTAAGTACGCTCATATACAGGGTGTAACTAAATAAGTGAAAAACATTTAAGGGGGTGATGCCTCATCGAAAAAAAGATAGGATCTTTCATATAAAGAAACTTCATTGGAGCATCCCTTGTTAAGATACAGCCCCTTAAAGGGGGTACATAAAATTTGTTTAACAATTTTTTTCACAAGCACTAAACAAGTTACAATATTGAAATTAACCTGACATTTTCTACTACCAAAAAGACACTTAGCCAGTAATTTATTTGGTTTACCCCATGGTAGTAAGGGGTGGAAAACGCAACCCCTAAAATTTATTTCCAACGTAATTTTTTGTCTTATTATTTTTTTACCATTTAAAAAATTATTTCCGATAGCCTGTTTCATTCTAAAAAAAAATGTCTCTTGAATTTTTTGCCCAAATTAAACCAGTTCGCAGTAAAAAATTATTTTACGAACAACTACAGAGATACATCGTCATAAATGCGGACTGGATTTACTGTTATTTTGTAGTTACTACCTGCATTAAATGATTAAAGGGGAATAATCAAAACTAATTTAATAATAACAAAACATACAACATGTAGAAATCATAGTAAATGTTCAATATGTCTACCTTCAGACATTACGCATGCGTCTAGACGTCGGCGCATTGAGCCACGTATTCGCTCAAATATTCCTGGAGTCTCTCTAATTACCCTGCACGCATCGATAATGCGGTTTCTTAAGTCCTCTACATCGCGAACAGGAGTACGATAAACCAAATGCTGCAAATGGCCCCAAGTAGACAAATCCAGAGGATTGAGATCCGGGGATCGAGCGGGCCAATTCTGTGGTCCTCCTCGACCTATCCACTGATTTGCATATGTTTCAGTTAAATGCTGACGTGCTACTTGACTAAAATGGGCGGGAGCCCCATCATGCATAAAAACCATATCCCTTCTGACGCCCAAAGGAACTTCCTCCAGCAGTACGGGGGGATGCACTTTTCTTAAAAATTGAACGTATGCCTCACCATTTAATCGAGGAGGTAGAAAATGAGGCCCAATTAAATAATCCCCAATAACTCCGACCCACACCTTAAGAGAAAACTGTTCTTGATGGTTAGTTTCGACAATAGCGTGATGGTTTTCATCAGCCCATATGTGGTAATTATGAAAATTAATAATCTTGTCCCGAGAAAAACTACATTCGTCTGTGAATTCGATCGTCTTCAGAAAGTCACGATTTCTTCTAATCATTTCCAGCATCCAATTGCAAAATTCAAGACGGTTCGGAAAGTCTCGCGGTAACAGTGCCTGTACTCGTTGCAGATGGTAAGGGTATAAGAGATGTTCCTTTAAAATTCGAAATACCGTCATATGATCAACATTTAGCTGGAAAGCAATCTTTCTAGTACTGGTAGTAGGTTGTTCTTCTATCAAATTAAGTACTGCTGCCTCAAGCTGTGGTGTTCTTACTTCTCGATGGCGACCACAATCCTGCGTTCTTTTGTTGAATGAACCATATTCACGTAATCGTTGATGAAGTCAGACAAATATTCTATGTGAAGGATGCTGCCGTTGAGGATACATTTCAGCATATCTTGTAGAAGCTTCTAACCCATTCCCCTGCGACAGACCGTAAACGTAATGCATATCAGCCATTTCCTCATTTGTGTATGCCATTTTAATAACAAGTGAATTATTAAAGTAACAAATTAAGAACAGAACAATACACAATTAGTATTACTTCAATTTCAAAAATTTACAAACTGACAGCTTGATTCCAATTTAATTGTCAGTATCGCTAATGGCGGCCTACTAGATAAATTAGTTTCGTATTTTCGTTTTATGGCGATATGTATCTTGTTCGTAAAATAATTTTTTGCTGCGAACTGGTTTAATTTGGGCAAAAAATTCAAGAGACATTTTTTTTTAGAATGAAACAGGCTATCGGAAATAAATTTTTAAATGGTAAAAAAATAATAAGACAAAAAATTACGTTGGAAATAAATTTTAGGGGTTGCGTTTTCCACCCCTTACAACCATGGGGTAAACCAAATAAATTACTGGCTAAGTGTCTTTTTGGTAGTAGAAAATGTCAGGTTAATTTCAATATTGTAACTTGTTTAGTGCTTGTGAAAAAAATTGTTAAACAAATTTTATGTACCCCCTTTAAGGGGCTGTATCTTAACAAGGGATGCTCCAATGAAGTTTCTTTATATGAAAGATCCTATCTTTTTTTCGATGAGGAATCACCCACTTAAATGTTTTACACTTTTTAGTTACACCCTGCGTATTGCACACTTTAGTCACAATGGGCTCATTTAGCACATTTTTTTAATATTCAACAGTATTTTTTCAGATACATTTAAACTGATGTTAATACGAGTATATCAATGTTGCATTATAGTAAAATATTAAGACAAATACAAAATTCAACTATATTTATCATTATCATTTTATTACACTTCAGGCTGAGACAGTGGAGGACCAGGCGTTCAGCTTTAGAGTGGAATTCGAAGGAGCTAACAAGCTCTATGGTTTAGCCCACCACTCTTTCCAAATGGCCTTAAAAGAAACAGTTGACGGTTCATCGGAACCTTTTCGAATGAAAAACCTCGATATTGGGGAATACGATGAGGATTCTCCCTTGGCTTTGTACGGATCCATACCAGTTGTCTATGGGCACTCGTAAGTTTCTGCAGTTGACTTAAAATTTCCTTCAATTCGTTTTCATTTTGACAGGGCTGATTTCACTTCGGGCGTATTTTTACACAATGCAGCGCAGATGTTTGTGGATATCAACTACACCGGCGATAGACCTTCTGCTTATTTTATGGTGGAATGTGGGCATTTCGACCTCATTCTCTTCCTGGGTCCCACACCTAGGGACGTAGTGAGACAGTATTCTTCCATGATGGGCGTTACCCGCATGCCACAAGTAACAATATTTGCTCGTTATTCATATTCTAAATTCACGTTCAAATTAATACATTACTTTTCCAGCTGTGGGTTTTTGGTTATCACCAAAACCGTCATACTTATTGGACCCAAGAAGAAGTAAAGGACGTGGTAGCGAAAATGGATCAGGCTGATTTTCCGTTAGATATAATTTTCCTTGATTATGGCTACACCAACAAGTACAGGTATTTCGAGTGGAATCCCGAGAATTTTACAGATCCCTTGGAAATGCAACAAAACATATCGGCTACAGGGCGTCGCATCATCGCCGTTTCAAATACTCATGTACCGGTCGACCTAGACTATTATATATATGTTGATGGTAAAGAATTGGATATCTATGTTAAAAATCCCGAAGGAAGTGATTACAAAGGTAGGTAACTTAAAATTATTTGAATTACGGATCTATTTGTAACAGGATTTCAATGATTAAATATTTTATAAGCTATTTATGACAAGAGAGAGTTAAAACCAAGATCCAAGAATTAAAAAATCATGTAATAATTTTTAATTAAAGATCTCACCAGAGCTGGAGAATCGGTTTGGATAGACTTCTTGATCCCAGACGCTCTTACCTGGTACGCATTCCTTTTTGATTTTAGTAAGTTTTCGGGAACTTCCGAAACTATAGCAGGATTCTGTCACGATTCCAACCAACCGTCCTTTCTGAACGATACCACCGAAAGGACATTTCCACCAGAAACTTTACATTACGAACAAACCCAGAACAGGGAAATCCACAATTTCTACCCATTAATGCACGTGAGTAAAATAAAATATTTAAATTTTTGTGTATATGCGAAAAATTTCATTTTAGGTGAGAGCCGCAGATGCAGCACTATCCTTTAGAGACCGCTACGAGAAACGGGTGTTTATTCTCAGTCGCGCCCATTTCGCAGGATCTCATCAATATGCTGCTGTATGGACTGGAGATAATACCGCAAGCTGGCCTCATCTTCGAAATAGTATAACTGAATGTCTTACGTACAATTTAATGGGAACAGTGCAATGTGGCGCAAACGTTGGAGGATTCTACGGTGATCCAACAGAAGAGCTTTTGCAGAGGTGGTACCAGGTGGGGTTTTTAAACGATTATCTTGCTGTCTTTAAATCTCCTTCCACATCTGCCTTTGTATTGCTTCCATCCTCCAAAATTGCTCTTGTTTCATGTCCTTCATCACCTTCTTCATTCCATCCCTTAGTTTTTCATTTCACTATGACATTTTTTAACGAAAAACGATTTATTTATAGGTGGGTATTTGGATACCATATTTCAGGGCTCATTCTAGTGGAGATTCAGCTCCACGAGAACCGTATCTGTTCTCTGAAGAAGTACAATCAGTGATCAGACTTGCCATCAAGACCCGTTACAAACACATACCCTACTGGTACAGGCTCATGTTCGATCACACTCAAAGTGGAGACCCTCTGATCAGGCCGCTCTTCTACAGCTACCCCGAATATATCGATTATGACGATCACTTCTTGATTGGTAAGTACAAAGGTGATACCTTGGCTGGTAATAATTCTATTGGTTTTTAGGAGAGGAAATTCTTTCGAGGCCAGTATTGGAGGCTGGTGTGAGTGAGGTGCAAGTCACTTTTCCTGGAAACGATATTTGGTACAGGGTTGACGATGATTCATGGGCAGTTTATGAAGGTGGAACAAACCAAAATCTAGTTGTAAATATTACTACGGTAAGTATTTAATAATATTAATTGAGATTATTTTGATTATTTAGTGAAGTACAGGCAAGTTTCATAGTATAAATATTTTTTTATTGCAGTCACCGTACTTCTATCGAGGAGGTAGTATAATTCCAAGGATGGACATTGAAAGACCGTCTACTACACAGATGATGACTGATCCATTTCAACTATACGTCACTTTGGATGATGTAAGTTAATTGCTCTTTAACAAAAAATATGGAGTGAAGCAATATTTTTCTTCTTAAAACAATATTTGTCTTGTAGTAAAAAAAATAATAATATCTCATTAATTATAGGATGACAATGCAGAGGGACTGCTGTACTTCGATGACTATATCACTTTACACTACATAAGAGCATCTTATTTCTACTTTAAACTTACATACGATTATGGAACTAATGGTATCAGGTTTCAGTAAGTTAATTTTTTATTATTAAACTTTTATGTATCAAATATTTTTCCTAGACAGGTAAGCGGCTCTTCAGATGGTTTTACTCCTCGTATTCAAAGGATAGTAGTACACCGTCGAGGAAGTAAGTAATCTTTTCTATGTTGATGGTATTATGTAATCAAATTTCTTTGAACTATACGTTTTAAAATACCTTCCAGCAAATAAAGAAACTATAACGACGACATATACAACCACGGGAGACGGCTCACCTTTGGAAGATGTAGACATTGTACAACACCTACTGTTGAAAGAGAAGGAAGGTTTTACTATTTATTTATAGTGATTGTTGTTTTAAATAAATTTTGGAAATATAGAGGCTTGAGTGGGGCGAATTTTACTTCAATATATACTTAAACGGAATTTTATCGTCAATTTTTTACTTTAATACCAATCTGAATTAAACCTTAACTGCCTGAAAAAATGAACAAAATATTTGCTAACATTTATTTTATCAAACAAAAACATAAAAAAGAGATCTTGAAAATTACTGATTATTTCGAAGAAAACTTAGAAAATCATGGAATTTAGTAATCTTATATTCAGAAATACAAGGCCACTCTTTCTCCGATGTCCCAAATAAATTAAATCCCTCTTCAAAGTTTAATCTTATTTATAAAAAGTATTTATCAGAATCGAAAATGAGATGTTTTTCCTATGAAATGATAACAAATATGATAAGGTAGTAGGCAGGGTAATGGATTATTATAGGGCGAGCTGTTGTTCAATGAATTGGCTTTATCGATTTTTGATATGGATTAAAAGTTCTTCAAACAATACAAAAAAATTAGATAAAAATAACAGTTCACGATAACTTCAAAATATCTATCAAAATATATTAATTCATTAATATTAATCATCACAATTCTATCTTAACATTCCAACCACTGAAGTTGCTACACTCCACACACTACATCACTTTGATGGTCAACTGTTGTTTATAAAATATCTTTATATTGTAATCTCAAGCACCTCCAAGAGAGAATAAAGTATATACAGGCTGTTACAATTTCGCTTCTCACTACAGGGATCTCAGAAACGGTAAGAGCTACGAAGTAGCTTAAATGGGGCAAAGTTGCGTAATTAGGGGACCAACATTATGCCTATAAAAAATCACGGCTAACATGATTACTTTTCGAAATATTTGAAAAAAACCGAAATTTTGGAAATCCGTTTTTGTTTAATTTCAGCCTTGTTTGAGGTGATATTGAAAACAGAACAAACACTTCTCATGGTCACTTTTTGCACTCTATCAAATGGCATAATCAATGTTTGTATGTAACGTTTCGTCTCTCCAGGACCATCATCAATTTTATTTTTTTAAATACGACTCTAGAAATTTTATTACATTTTTTGCAAGTCTTGATGACCCCCAATACTGTATTGCCTCAGCCCGAACCAGATTCAGACGTTTTGTCTAGAAAAAATCATCTTCAATGTATTCGTTCCACATTTATCTAAATTTTTTATTTGACTTCTTTGTTTATTAAATTATCGTACACTGTAAGTGTCGTTAGACCCTGTGAAATCCATCTAGTTATTTAAACTATTAGTATTAAACACTTAGTATTATACAGGGTGTTCAAAAATATGCCGACTACTTCTCTCAACTTTAAACAGCAATAACTTGGTTATTTTAAATGGAACACCCAGTATATTTTTACTTTGGGAGTTGGGAAATTTAAAACTCTTTCAAACTGTGTATAGGTTCCCTATACCTATCTCTAACGGTATTGGAGATATTTGTGCCGTTTCGTTTTTTATCGATTTTTTTTGTAAGATGTATCCACGTGTCTCTATCGAGGTCTTTACTGAATTGGTTTGGGTTCTTCTTGATGACGTCTCTTTAAATATAAGGAGAAAAATGTGAATGCAAATAGATGGCACACCTGCACATTTTTCATATTCAGTGAGAAATTATATAAATCGATAATTAAGTAATAAATGAGTAGGTAAGAATGGTTCATGTCAGTGGCTACCACAGGTGTCCAAACCTCTCGTAATGGACTTCTTTGTTTCGGGCTGTATAAAAATATATCTTGTACACAGTGTTCCACCTACTACTTGCGATGATATGAAGGAAAGGATTAGATATGCATTTGCCACAATCACCCCAAATATTCTAAGGAATGTGAGAATATCATTTGAAGATAGAATAAGATGCTGTATTCAAGAGAATGGTTATCAATTCGAACATCTATTAAAATTTTTCTTTGTTTCTTCTAAAAGTAAAATTTTCTTTAATAAATATTTTTCATGTTCATAAATAATTCAGTTACTTACTACAAACATATTTATACAAAATTAATAACTTTTTATAATTATTCTGCTTATAAAATAATATTTTTTATTAGAAAACTTTTTTGAATATTTTCATGATAATGATAAAAGGAACTTTTACTTTTAGAAAAAACAAAGAAAAATTTTAATTGATGTTCGAATTGATAACCATTCTCCTGAATACAGCATCTTATTCTATCTTCAAATGATATTCTCACGCAAATGCATCTCTAATCCTTCCCTCCAATATCATCGCAAGTAATAGGTGGAACATTGTATACAAGATTTTTTATATAGCTCGCAACAAAGAAGTCCATTACGGTGAGGTCTGGACACCTACGTGGCCACTGACATGCACCATTCCTACTTATCCATTTATTACTAAATTTTCGATTTAAATAATTTCTCACTGAATATGAAAAATTTGCAGGTGCGCCATCTAATTGCATCCTCATTTTTCTCAATATATTTAAAGAGACGTCATCAAGAAGAACCCAAACCAATTCAGTAAAGACCTCGATAAAGACACGTGGATACATCTTAAAAAAAAAATCGATAAAAAACGAAACGGCACAAATATCTCCAATACCGTTAGAGATAGGTATAGGGAACCTATACACAGTTTGAAAGAGTTTTAAATTTCCCAACTCCCAAAGTAAAAATATACTGGGTGTTCCATTTAAAATAACCAAGTTATTGCTGTTTAAAGTTGAGAGAAGTATTCAGCAGTTTTTTGAACACCCTGTATAATACTAAGTGACGACAAATATAACAATTTATAACTTCAAGGATCTAAAATAGACCCTCCAAAGCTGCTTCCTTAAAATTATTTTTTTATTGCTAATATTAAATTTCTACGCTATGCCTGCATTTTCACTAAAATTGAAATATCTCACAAACTGTAAGTCCTAGGTATGCAGAACCTTTAATAAAGTTCACCTATTTTTTTACGGTGCTTTCAAAAATGCAGTAAAATACAGGGTGTTCCATTTAAAAAAACATAACATTGATGTGGTAAGCTTTTCGTGGACACCCTGTATATTTCAAAATATTTTTAAAATGTATCCGTAATCAACCTACACATACCCACCTAAACAGGTTTCTGTAACATTTGCCGTTTGGTCACTAGCGCGCGAGGCGTTACTGGTGGCCCACCCTGTATATTAACGGCAGAATACTAAAATACTAATGTTTTAAATGAAACAATCTACAGGTACATTGCAATGAAACTTTAGATTAAGGGTCCACAAATATATGTCACTCTTCAAAATTATATCATATCTAGAGAAAATAAGTGTTTATTTATTTTTGAGGATACTTGTACAGGTTTTTGACATGCACCTATAGCAGCTCTTATAGTGAAGATCTCTACAGATAATGGAGATAATCTCTAGGTATAAAATTAATGACACGATTTTTCGATAGCAGTGGAGTGGCGTGAGGCAACCATGATTAGGTAAGGAGAAGACCTGTTTCATTTTTCCAATACGTGCTACAATTCTAATTACATAGCAATATGTTTAATTTTTTTCCATTGAATTACAAAATATTCTGAATTTTAGATTTTGGGTATTGGTCGTTTTTTTGGTGTCCACCGTGTATGGTGAGGGCGCAGATCATGAGACGTTTAAGAATTGTTCACGAATTGAATTTTGCACGTAAGTATAAAATAACGGATGTGGTACCCACGCCCCTTTTTCAACTGCTAGGTAGAGCTTATTTTGAGACTAAACTAAAATCAAATGAAAAAAATCGAGTCAACTTTTCATGAAACAGATATGAGATCCATGGAAAATATTAATTATGGGAACTGTTATCTAACACACTATGTATTTTTTTAATTTGTAGAACACTAAGAGGGCTAACACTCGAGGACGACGAGCAGTTCACAGCTGACGTCAAAAATGTTGGTGGTACCAACAGAGTAGCTACCATTCCGCTTTCTAATGGTAATAAAGAATCTCTGACTTTAGAACTGACGCTACTGGCTTCACACACAATCAGACTTAAAGTGTTGGAAATAAACCATACCCGTTATGAGATACCGTACGTGTTGAACGGAGAACCAGAAGCTGCAAAGTAAGTGTGGCAAAACTTCAGAATTGTTTATCTTATCACATCCAATAAAAAAAATATGAATGTGTTCGGCTGACGCGTTCCAAGAACGTGGAGACTTCTCGATACGTAGGAATTTGAGATGAGTACATCCAGAGTATATTTTGACCAGTGGCGTAACCAGGGGGGCGGCTGTGGGGTCTTTAGCCCCCCCAAAGTTCTGTCGCGCGATTTTTATCATAACGGACGGACGGACCTCGGCATCAGTCAAGATTCTTAAAGGGACAGGTTGCCTGACTTTCTACGCCACTGGGTATGCCGATCGCATCGCGTAATTGATAAATACTTGGTAGTCTGTACTGTACATGTTTTGTGGTTATGCATGTTGATTTTTGCTATTTTCTGTTGTGATTTTTGAGATATTCAGGTCGAGTATGTATTCCATTTTATCATAATAACAGTTATGTTGTTTCAGGGTTGTTAACGTTACCTGTTAAGATATAACATGCATGTTATTGAGGAATTAAGATCATTTTTAGCAAATATTCGTATTGCAATTTTGTTGTTTTTTGAAGACGCTTTTGTGTCGACATTTGTAATAATAATTATGCAAAATTATTATAAACAAGAGTCAGTATTAGACAAAAACACAGATAACTGACAGATGTCTTTTAGTTTATGAAACATGAAACAAATGCAAACTCATAAATAACGGATAAGTACAACATAAAATAGTTTGTAACATGTTATCTTAAATTATAACAGAGTTTCTTAAAGGCAAGGAATTTGGTGTTGCTATAGTTTAACGTAGGTGTTATTTGTCTAATGAAAATGAACGGCTTGTTAAATTTCCATTTACTTGCCGGTTTTATAAACGCACATCGAAGGTAAGTTGTAAAATTTAAGTAACTTAGGTAGTATATACGTATATGTATACAGCGTGGTAAAAAAGTTCTGCATAAAATTCATATTTTCGTTAAACAATTTTTTTTCGAAAAACGGTGAGACCCGTCGTTTTTTATTTGGTCCAGGTCACCTTGTTATATGGAAAAAATTTTTTTTCGATAATCCACTTACGGCAACGATGACAATATTTTTTTAAATGACAACCCATATTTTTTTCGTTCGAAATTGATGACAGTGATAATTATCTAAACAACGGTGTGAAAATTTCGATGTCTTACAAAACAATTTTTTTAGAAAAATGCACCTTAAGCTCTTATAAGTGATAATTGTCTACTTACACTATTAATGGCTCCGAAAAGAACAAAGTTGACAAAATTACATTTCAAAGGAGTAAAATTACACTAATGTTTGTGTATGTCTAGCGAAATTGTTCCAATTGCCCACCCTGTACCATTTGGCATTGTCCTAAGCGTGTGTAAACGCCGTCTACACTTCGCTCAAGCAACGCGGAACAATCGAGTGGCCTCCGCGTTCGCCTGATTTAACACCTCTAGACTTTTTTTGTGGGGCTATTTGAAATCGCGTGTGTACACAAACAGACCAGGTGATTTGGAAGAACTTAAAAACCGTATTCGTTTCGAAATAAATCAAATCGACCCGGGAATGCTTGAACGAAGTGTAGACGGCGTTTACACACGCTTAGGACAATGCCAAATGGTACAGGGTGGGCAATTCGAACAATTTCGCTAGACTTACACAAACATTAGTGTAATTTTACTCGTTTGAAATGTAATTTTGTCAACTTTGTCCTTTTCGGAGCCATTAATAGTGTAAGTAGACAATTATCACTTATAAGAA